TGTCTGTCTCTCAAGTTGGGAAGTTGATTTCGCCGACGCAACTTGGGCGAAAAAAACATGCGATGGATAACAATTGACATGGAGGTTAATATCAGGCCGCATAAACTCTGGTTCATACGCCATATACAACCCAAGTTACCGAAAAACAGAGCATGGTTCTGTCGGATCCTTGTTGCATGGAACGCCAAAAGTGTGACACTTTAATTTCCCTATTTTTTTTAGAGTTTCACGACTATACATTTCCATAAAAGCTGCTTCAACTGTAAATTGCATATGATGAGCTTGTATCCGGTTTCGGATTCACCCACCACAACGGAATGTGCCGATGAACATCTGCGCCCACAAAGTTCACGCTTCGCCACATGTGCGTTCACCTAAATGTCTGAAATAAACTCAGTGTAAACCCGAAGGGGACAGACCACAATGTGAACAGGACGGGGAACCACATATAGTGTTATGGGCTTCAAGTGACGTAAAAACAAAAATATCTTGAAATTTGGAAACTCAGCACAGGATGCATAATTGGCATTATACTAAATGTAATAGAGCGCATCATCTTGATAAGAAATTGCTTTATCCGGGCTGTTTCTATGTAACCATATTACTGTTGAGTGAGGCACCATTTTGAGCTTAATTCGGAAGAACTGAATGGCAAAAAAACACCACTGTGTTACCAGACAAGCAAGTCACCGAAAGTTATATTTGGCCTCTACTCTACCCGTTTTGCAGTAGCACCGAAGATAAAGGTAGGTTGTCCTAACCCCATAGATCAGGTAGTGTTCTGCCCAAATACTTCCGTGCCACACGTACAATTCACACCATTGAATACGGTCACTATCACTAGACTAAAAACGTTAGTGTTAACACCTACCTAATTATATTTAAGGCATAAGAGAGGAAAGAAGAAAAAAGTGTGGGCGAGGGCAGGGATCTGGTATTGGCCTATCGCAAGTATCCCGGGATACATACATCTCCTGAAGCTCGATCAGACAATCTGGAAAGAAACTGACAACAAGAATGCCACCGACATTGACCAACTGCCATTTTTGCAGCGTCTCCAGCCAAGCAAAGCACAGGTCACTGGGAATACATCCCAGAAGGTGTACAACACCAATAACGACTAAACTCTTCGTAATCCCCTTCACACTTTTCTGTCAAGTCCTACGTTGTCCAGTTTGCGGTTTCCTCCATTTTAAAGGGGACAAGAACAAAACTGATCTCGGTAGGCGGTCTTTTTGCATGCATAGCACGGCCAAACCACCGCAGTTGATGTTGCTGGATGTTTTTCGTGGTTGAAGTGAAGGCCACACAAACAATCGTTTTCTGATTACATCCTCACAAATTCGTTGGGATCAGCCGACATTAGCAACGCTTCTGAGGTATCGGTGGTAAAAAAAAACGTAAAGAAGTTTCCCGTTACTCGTCTGCAGAAGCCGTTTTGCAACCACACAACCACACAAGCATTACTGTAACCTGGTGCGGGCGGCCCTTGAGACCCAATGATGACTTTTTTGACGCCACAAGCAACGCGAATTAGCAAACGTAATTCGAGCCTTTGAGATTCTTGCACTGACTTCATCAGACACACTTCCGTTAGAGCTAATACAACTACCTAGGTATGCAAAAAATTTTACAATTTTTCGTGGTTGAAGTGAAGGCCACACAATCGTCCGTTTTCTGATTACATCCTCACAAATTCGTTGGGATCAGCCGACATTAGCAACGCTTCTGAGGTATCGGTGGTAAAAAAAAACGTAAAGAAGTTTCCCGTTACTCGTCTGCAGAAGCCGTTTTGCAACCACACAACCACACAAGCATTACTGTAACCTGGTGCGGGCGGCCCTTGAGACCCAATGATGACTTTTTTGACGCCACAAGCAACGCGAATTAGCAAACGTAATTCGAGCCTTTGAGATTCTTGCACTGACTTCATCAGACACACTTCCGTTAGAGCTAATACAACTACCTAGGTATGCAAAAAATTTTACAATTCTCAGTGATTCTCCTTGAATTGTAAGGTGAACGTCCAGAAACCGCACGTCCTGAAGCAGAACTTTATACTTTGAAGGTTCAATGAGCATATCGAAAGACGGCACGCGGTTGCCAGCCTGTGCAACAGGGATTGTGCGTCGCCAGGGTTCTCACCAGCAATCATTTGAACACCAGAGTTCTGAATACCTTTCAGCATTCGCCTCACTAATAGTTCATCGTTGGCGAAGTTGAACAAGAATAGAGAGGGTGTATACCCTTATCGAACGCTAATTTTTGTAGGAAAGCCTTCGAAGCTCACTGTAAACTCTCACACCCTGTTGCGCAAATGTGGTTAAAAATGCTGCCCGACCAAAGAACGCCAGGGATGTGGGTTATCTGTATGTATGACGTTGATCTAACAGTCGACGGATTACGAAGATGTGGTTGGCACAGGCTCTACCCGTCCGAAATCACGTTCACGGATCAACGTTTCGTATGCAGCTTAAGACAATGAAGGATCAACGCCAAAAGTTTTGATACAACCGGAGTCAAGCTGACACCTCTGTGGTTACTACGTTCACTGCGAGTACCTTTTTTGAAAATGGGGCATATGATCGACTCACACCAGTTTTTGGGACGGCTTCTTTCTTCGAGTTAGAAACAACTAGGCCAGAAGGACACTGGTTAAGGAATTCATCTTCATCGGTGAATACAACGGGTGGAAGGCCATCAGGATCAGGAACACAATAGCACTTGAGTAAGGGTATACAACTTACTGTAGGAAATAATAAATAAGTTGTAGTTAGTTTACAAAACTAGCTCAGAGAGACGTGCACTTTGGCCCTTCCTTGAACTTAGGAACAAGCATTAGAAACGGAAGTCACCGTATACGATAGTCTTTTTACGTAATGAGCTTCTTTCATCTTGTTTTGCTGTGGCGGAATCTAGAGGACCGCTTAAATGAAACAAGGTCGTTTTTGGTTGTTGATAAGTAGGGTGTTCATCTGTCCAACTTTTATATGAACGAATTATATTCCGCATTTATTTGCATTGGCATGGATGAAATCATACACTGAGTAGTCCAACTTCACAATTTCACTTTATTTATAATCCCTACAAGCTACACACTCCATTATTGCTGACTGCAGGTCAGCTGTGTCATTATTTTAAAATTCAATGGTACTAGGAAGGACCTGGAGACGATAAGGTCCCCATAACACAGCAGGGACATTCATATCCCGAGCTTAATTCCAGACCTCTGAGTTCCCATTTTTTCATTGTTGATAGTGACGAGCATTTTCGCTACTGAAATCAGTTCATCCACTTTTATACAACTTCCAGAAAGCCGGATAATTTTGGAAAACTAATTTTCATATCGAGATTTAAAACCAACGGTTTTGGTCAGACCATATGAGACAAAGATCAATGAAGCCAACCTTCATACGGTAGTTGAAAAGTGAACTTCTAGGTTAAAGAAGACAAAAAACTACAGCAGGCGAGTGGACTTCGAAAGAAAAATGTGTGGTTTTAGATCACTGAAAATTGCAACCGTGGATGAACAGATATGATTGACAAGTAAACATGTATACAGGCATGACGTCCTTTGGCGCCTATCGTATAACTCCACCTTAGAATACAGTATTCATCCGTGGGCCATTTGCAATCGACGAAATATTATCAGTAAAATGGATATCTTTTAATGATCAGAATCGATCTTGTGGAGTACCACACTGTTACAGGCGAAGCACCGGTAGGTGGACCAATGTAAATTTAGTCTAATTTATATGAACAGCATTCAGCATATGGGTTAATAGTCTCCATCACTATTTTACATTCATTCCACATCTTGCCCATTAAAACTGAAATGGAAGAGTAAGTACTGATAAACAAGTCCGTTATTCGGCCGGTTTTACCTTATACTTATGAAGTCCGGTTAACGCATGTCTCAGACAATCGCAACATGGGGACTTTCGACCGTTGGTGGTTGGGACCGTGTAACGAGTGAGGCCAACGGTTGGGCACCGCACGAATTTAGCAGCTAATTCAACAAACAACGTTTCAAAAGATTTTTACAAGAATTCCGCCACCCAAAAACGGACATCACTGGAGCTGACTTGCTCGCGAGCCACACGAAAAACGACGCTTTTGGCGAACTGGTTAATATACGACCTGGATCAATTCTGGTAAGAAAGGTGTTGATAATCTGACTCTACAAGTTGCCCATGGTCCACATCAATAGAAGGAAAATTCACTCGGTATCTGTAAGAGTTTTCCCCCCGGACGCTGCGCTTTAGCAGCTGCAACTGAAGACATCCAAGAAGAGAGCTCGTAAAAAGAGCAAGTATCCACAAATTCAAACGTAGAAGCATATGCAGTTCCACGCAAAGAATTTTGACGGGAAAGTGAAATTTTTAAAAACGACGCCATAATGTCGAACTCTTATTGGTAGCCGCCAACTCCGCCGAAATCCCCTCAGAAAGACCGGGGAGTCTCTGAGCCAGGAAACCCTACTAGTCAGTGAAATTGTGTCAATAGGTGATGCAACATACAAGTGAAAGCAAAACGGATAGTTCACCTACCCTCATCAGCCCATAAACAAATACTCATACACACAGCAGTTACTTCTACTTGGCTGAATCTGCTCAGTGCTGCCGTTATTACTGAATCAATATTTTCGGTTCAAATTCACACAGTGGTGGAGTAAAGGATAGGTTTGTACAGTAGTATTTTTGCCACAATGGTTTTTAAAATATGAGGTTTGCACACTTGGGGCACCGAACTGACCAAAAATCACTTTTAGAAAGATAAAGTGAAGTGCCCAACAAAAACGCCGCCTTGGTAGCAAACGTTTCCCTTAGGCTGTACTGTTGGTTCAGTAGTCCAGCTACAAGTCTACAATGTTTATGGCTCGCCGTTATAAAAGTCATTCCGAAGTGTTGTCACTTCAGTCGTCAGCCCGCTGGCCAGCAAGGTGGTATAATCAAACCAACAGTTGCGAACGTACAATATCCATTATCTGTCCAACTTACGAACTGACTTCTTGGTTCAAAGGATGAAGTTCCATTTATTTCCACAGATGAATGTTGAAAAATTTTCAATATCACCGTCTCCTCCAGGTAGTTTTTATCCACCATTTTTTCGCCTCTGCAATAGAGAGAATGTCACTGTCTCACGGCTAGAGAGTTAGAGATCACGCTCAGCAAGCCGTTGTTCTACCCAGTCAAAAAAGCTTATGATAGCATAGAAAGCTTGGAGAGTTGGTGGTCTCTATGATGTCATACAACCTACTAAATTAACCTATTCCTTGTTTTATACAAAATAGGCGTGGTACCTTACACTATGCAAAGAAGAAGCAAACATACCGCTTTGATCCAACTTCTTTAAGAATACCTTCATCGATAAGTCGGTTGAAAAGACTTCGCGCCACTGTATATTTTACCTCGAGGTTCTTCGATATGATGGCGGGAGATATGGAATCCAAACTGGTGCACAGTAACACAGCTCGGCGCAAAAGGCAGAGTGACTACGCGAAAAAGGAAACGAAGACAGGAAATATTACGTCAATAGTGACGGGAGGTTACTAAAGCGTAGCAAAACGGAAATGAGGACAGATCAATTGCCTTCTAATAGCAAAATCTCGGCAAAAGAAGGAATTGCGCCAGGATTATACAGCAGAGAATTCGATGCTTGCCGCAATGATGGTAGTATGTTGTCGCTTGTTCGCTTCGGATTTCAGTTCAGTTGTGTCCAGGGAGCGGGGTCCAACTAACCGGTTGGTGACACTGGTTTCAGGCTCTCATTTTTCTTGATCACGACATGATCAACTATGTCCATCCACTCCATGTGAAGTTTCCACTAGAACCCGTCGCCGTAAAACGAATATTCCCATTTATTCGCAATGAAATAACTCAAAATCTCGCGGTAGGGGGTTTGGAAGCATATTTGGCATATTATTGGCACTTTCTGTGAAGATATGTACTTGAACTTATCATACATTAGGAAATTTATGAGATTTATGCATGCAATAGCATTCATTCTGAAATTTATCATTGAAAAATGAACGCCAAGATCCCAGTCAGAGTTAGTTGAACTAAAATGCTCATCGTATGACCTCGTTTGGGGGACGCAAGGTGAAAAGTAACTTGTAGGTTGACTAGAAGTGTAGGAAAGGTTTCACCTTTTTGGGCTACCCGACTTCGCGGTCTCTCAATGGATGGGAAATAGCCAGTTTGGTGGCGCTTGGGTTATCAGTTTTTAGCAAGATCATCGAAATTATCATGCGGCTGAAATCATGTTCTTTCGTGCTTCTTCTGCAGAGTTTGCGAAACGATTGTGTTAATGGATAATAACGGTACCAAAGCAAAGCAAAAGAACTAATAATTTGGGAATCCTGAGGAAGAGTTGGCACTGTATAGGTGATCAAAAGAGTTATGCCAACACGCATTAGTGAGGGAAACTCATTTGTTAGGCTGGGATCCGAGGGGTCCACAAGGGGAAAGTCATGCTGACCTTCGCTTCTAAGGAATTAGAAAACCAACAAAAAATGAATGTAGCTTTCAAGCCACAGTATTTTATAACAACCTCGGCGCAACAAATGAAAGGAAGAAGGCCTTCTCTGTGGAGTTATTTATCAGGAAATGCCAACTGACCGGTTAGAGACTATTGGACAGGGGAGCAAAATTCTCATTTGCATCTTATTTACAAAAACTGGACATCCATCTTCTCCTGAACGCGTCTTCTTGAACTTTTCTGGATATTCATTGACTGCAATCATTCATCGCTCAAATCCAAGCAGATGTTGCAAAGCTACTTCACAAATTCCTCAACAGATCTCCCCTTTTCAAAAGACGCAAAGCGAAATTCCACGAACAACACACAATACTCGCGTGCCTCCCATCAGTAGTATCATTGTTACACAAGTATTTCATCTTAGAAATACATGGGAAACTGACCGCGAACCGTGCTACGGCTGCCAAATAATTGTCTACTGAGAGGGATTTGGCCTCTCGTCTAATTCGATGAGGTGTATCGTAACGTACCACTGGACAGGAAGCTTGTAGTAGATTGTGAAGTTTGTGTGATACTTGTCAGCCTGCGCTTAGGGTTGGATGTTCATGGTACTGAGTTGTCATGGTCTATCCGGCTGTTTAGTCTGCTTGTAAACATTGAAACCATCTTTTTATAGGGCGTCAGTGACGGTTATTCCGAACGCGAACAGAGCTGACCATTGTCCACAAAGATTTCTTCCGTAAACCGGGTTGTATGCTGCTACCCCTATGGTTAGTCCGCCTGTTTTTGTTTTTAAGTTCAAATTACCCAAGACTGATGAAGTGAGCACTGTTGGTGGTTCTCAGAAAGGACGAAACAGTTGTACAGTGCTTGTCAGTTTTTCAGCCAACGTCTTAACGACCTCTTAGCAATTCCTATCCCATGAAAATCCAAGATAATTTGCAGCTCTTGAGGAGATTTTTGGTGACTGAGGCAACGCAAGTGGTCGTTCGTCTGTCCACTGAGGAGGGTAATTTGATTGCACACGATTCATCACCAATCAAGATGACATTATCAGTGCGAACTGATCCCACAATCAGCTTATTAGCTCAAAAAGGAACCCTCGTGGCCGACGAACCGAATGTCACTCAACGGAAACTGATCTCAAGACCCAAGGACAATCAAGACAAACCTAAGAGGAACAAGCTGATACACCAAATCAATTGCAACAAATGCAACAAGATCTACGTTGAAAAACTGAAAGGAAATTATGTAAGCGAACACAAGGGTTACAAGGCAGCCATCAGGAAACATGAGTGCCAAGGTTAGAAATTCAATCTTAAAAACGTACAAATCCGGGCATACGGTGACACGAGACATAGAATGGAAGCATGGTGCTCCACGACGGATTCGATCAGTTGACATAATAAACCAGATCAAATTTATACAGCACTACGTGCAAAGGACCAATATCTCAAACAGAATACTTAAAGAGAACCGAACATCTGAGTAATAAGCCAAAAAGTAAGAAACACCCTGGAGTCATTTTAATGAAGGGCACAAACAGGAACCCATGTATCTCAAGGACAGAGATCATCCCAACATCGACCAGAATACGATACCGAGGGGACAAGCCCAAAGGTCACGTGATCATCTGTCAATCGGGATACACGATAACACACCAAACAATGGAACCGCCCAACCAATCGTGATCAAAGGCCAGCCCGGGCTAGCAGCCTTAGAACACACGCAACACTACTCAACACAAAACGGCCGATCCATCGTTACGCCCCAATACGCTTCCTAACAAAGTACTAAGGATGTCACCTCGATTGGTGACATCCGCAATCAACCGTCCAGCCCAGCAATCAAACGAACGATCCTGTTTTACATTACTCGCGATAGCCCCATTCGCCAGCGCTCATTTGTTCCGTCAATTTTTAATCTATCGGTTTTATCTATGGATATGAAACTCAACAGCAGCAAGAGTCAACTACTCACACGCAGCAGAAATGAAAACACGAAGATTATCCAGTATCGTATGCCCTGACACAATCGTATTTTCAGAAAATCTATCTGAGTCCAAACGGAGTTGTCCAGGTAACTGAACTTCGAGCAGAACTGGAAGGCAGCTTGAGTACGGTGAAAACAGTGTTCCCAGAAATTTCATGTTCATGGTTCAGTATGAGAAATAGTATATTCGGTTTTCCCAGTACGGCTGTCGGCCGTACAAGACAATCATGCAGCATAAAGGATATTCTATTGAAAAAAGCCCAAAGAGCACTACTCATATGTTCGCTCCCTCAGTACAATAAAGTAGGACAGCGTTTACTAAACTCTAACACTTTTGGTACCGAGGTAACATCAGCTTGGCTGTCAAAAGTTAGAGTGCACAATGCTGTGATCCGATCTGTCCTACTTTATGGGCCGGGGACGTGGCAACTGTGTGTGAAAGACTTTAGATGGCTCTCTGTATTTGACCATCGGTGCCTTCGAAGCGTTGTGTGGGTCTGGTGGGAACACCGAATCAGGCCACTGGGGTACGCCAGGATGTCTTTGGGGAAAGCTCACCCACTCTGGATAGATCAGTTGGTCACATTCACGGGTTACGATTCGTATACCACAGGATCGTTGTCTAATTTAGCCCTCTTCGCCCAGCCTTGTATCGGATGCAGAAAATCTAGAGGCGGTCAGTCCACGAGTTAGCAGAGAAGCATGGAATCCTTTACTAGCAAATTAAACCGCGCTGGTAACTGTTGTCTCCCCGAATGGCGACTGCGAGGCGAGACAACCTAATGATTAGCGACCATGACAAATACGTCTGTCCAACATCCGACGGCGCACTTGTATCAAAACTCTTGCCTTCACTTGATAGCTTTCACTCACTGTCATAGCGGATAAATGCAGCCATTTGACGCCGATGGAATAATTGCATCATCACTTCCAACGAGTGGTTCTGATTCTCTTATCCCGGTGAGCAAAGCCGTAGCAGCTACAGCCATTGCAATTCGGTGCATAGATTGTAAACTGGATAACTGAGTGACTAACATCATGATCAAGAACTTTAGGCACTACCCTAACAGAGAAATAAATCAAAACACAAGGACTCACCTTTCGGGCATCGTCTGGCAGTCCTTTTAAGCTGTTATCGGTTATACCGCCCTTCTGCAACAACTCTGGCTAAAAAACAGTACGAAGTGTGGATATACTGTGGTCTGTTGAAGTTAAAAACGAAGAAGCTGGATTATGAGGACATACTGTCTAATAGTTGAGCCACATTTCTGGATAAGGCGCATTTTTTCACAGAACCATCAAAAGTGACAACTCGCGAGACCCAAAATACTTCCACCAGAGACGTTACAAACGTGGTTTGAACACTGGTAATCAGCAAATATAGCTATTCAGTAGTCCTCTCATCTCAGTATCTTGTTTCATAATGACCTGAAAGAAGTACGTTGTCGGATTTTGTTCGTGAATTTGTGAATTCCATTATCACGCATGTGTTTTACTGTTCCGCTTACAAAATGACCACCTAAACCCATTGGATGGCATCACTCAGTTGATATTTTGGTCACCATAACCAGGTATCGTAGTAGACAGCACTGAACAGCATCCTTCCGGGATTTTCAGCAGGGGGCAACCTGAGCTGTTAATCATCTAATGTTATAAGTTTGACTGACTATGCCCACCTAGTTGTGCGTCAATTCGATGACGTATCAACGCACGAAGAGAAGTCTTGCTGAAAGCATCTCTGAATGTTACTACATTCTGTTCTCCGTCTATGGATGCCAACAATAACTAATTAGCCATAAAAGTGACTCACCCAAGCGAGTATCTAATACAGGTCTCCAGTTTCTAACGTGACTGGTCTTGATTGAAGCTGACAATTTCTCGCCTCCCCCCACACACACCGCAGCTTGTTTCTCTGACCCGAGATGACCTTATCTAAATGTGAGATTGTTCGTCGTGAAAAATCCTGTTTACTTCAACAGTAGGGAAACATATCATGATTTTATGAAGGATGGATTGTAACAGTCAATAAATTGTGCAGGATGTACCATGAGCTGACTGAAATTTCTCAGGGTAACTTCGTGTTAGATGACAATAATGATAACAGTAATCGTAATAGAAATCACAACCATTATAACGAGTGGGAGGGGAGAAGGGGTGGAAGCAAGAATATGACGACGACGATGGCAGAAAGCATGATGACGAGAAAGATAATGATGAATCAGAGTTTAACAAGCGTGAAAAATCTGAACGGAAGGTGCATTTAAAAATAGATCATGCTTTTTCTCCGAACGAGCAGAAGAAGCCCTGTGTAGTAAAATCTGCTTTGCTCCGAATAGCAACCCCGATGACCAGCGAATAGATAGCCAATCGTTTTCGCATCTGATTAAACATGCAGCATTGCAAATTTAACAAACTGCTCCCATTTAAAAATGCTGTGCTCATTCGCAACTTTCACAGATTAGGCTGCCACTTATGTCTCTATCGGCGAAAGAGAAACAGTGGTCACTAGCAATATTCCCTTTTATATAAGATTATACAGAACGTGTAAAGATGGTGTTAGCAGACGGTTACTGACCGTAGTCCTCTCGGCATATCCCCTTCTTAGACTATAAATAGGTGTAGAAAAACTCCCCGAAAATGTATTCACGGAGATATTTTTGTTCTTACACTGAAACAGAACAATTAGGAATCATTTTACTGAGACCCGAAGGAGGACGATTCTGCTGAACTATATAATGGCATAAGCTAACTACTTCAGCCCGAAGTACCAAAGTTTGGAGAGAAAGACACTGCATTGGTCGAGTTCTCCGGAAAAAGCTGTCCACAGAAAATAATAATAAATAAAAATAATCATTCAGCTGCAACACCCTTTCGGCGCCTAGCTGCCGAGCCCCTCTAAGGCTGCACGACAGCCGAGACACTGCCATGCTGCCCAAGCCTAGACAGGGCGGTCGGGTTATGTTCGAAACATGGACGTTCCGTTCATTAGTTCATTAGTTTGGAGCTTGAACTTCTGAGCCGCACTGGACAAAGTGAGACATAGAGATTGACACGTAATACACAAATCGCTTCCTTGCGAATTTCTGACGGCAGTTGCGAGCAATCTGAGTAGATGGACGCTTGTTTTGAGAAGGGAATCCGACGAGATTTAACCCAGGCAAGGCCGGTTGTACACTGTATACGGATAGAGTAGCCATTCTCATGCTTCTCGTAAACCGTTCTGCCAACAAAATGAAATATCCTCATAAATATTCATCTTCGATAATACGACAGCACAATTCTGCATTTGGTAAGTTCATTCTGATGCTGAATGCACCGGAATTGATTGTGCGAGACGGAACACGGTTGCAAAAACACGAGAATTCGGCCGACTGCTAACTGCACGTTGAAACTAAGGACTAAATACCATGCTTGAATCTACGGCTACACTCATCTTGACCACGCATCCAAGACTAATCGTAATCCATATAAATAAATTGTTATATATATATATGTATATAATTAGGTACGGGTGGAATCCCACACACTCACCTTTGTTTCACTGCACTTCTCACAGATGTGAGAACTGGGTACATCAGTTTCCTCCAAAATCCGGAAACACACAGCATGTTGCCACATGCCACAACCATCGCACAGGATCATGACGCCATCGTCCTTGAATGGAAAGTATACCGGAAACAATCTTAACAAATATATGTAGTAAATGTGTATGGTACTAACTCACAAATTCATAAGGTTTGGTAAGTTGACCAGAAAGCTTGTCCATAGTTTATTATATTGGAAGCCTAATTCTAGCCAACAACTGCGGATTAAAAGAAAAACGAATAAGTAAAATAGGCAAACACACTCGGTTGTCTTAACCAAATTCACTAGGTTCGTACGGTTGGTATACGATCCATGAAACATAAGTTTCTATGGGCCAGAAGTTTCCCACAATGAGAGTCAAGTGATGCTAGGGTTATATAATATAGCCCTCGTAGTTAAGACACTGTTGTGCGGATAAAAATGCCGTTGCATTTTAAGATGATGTTATTCAGAGACTCAAATAAATTTAAGCTGAATCCGTCATGTATAACATCCCTCGCATGAACGTACCCTGAATGCACCTATTACACTAGGAAAGATATTCACAACATCAAAGCATTGCCCTTGATGACACTGTTCGTATGGTTTATGAGCTGTTCAAGGGTTTCCAAGCATCTTAGGACAGGTGAAAAACCAAGAGATCCAGCCGTTGTTCGAATAACCGCTACAACAACACAGATATAATGTCAAATGGTGATAAGACTTGTGGTCGGCAGCCAATGAGACAGCCTTGCAGGGTCCTTACGGCAACATGGTGCAACAGGCTACAGCAGAGAGTGGTTAAGACCAAGTGGAACTTAACACGTGAGGTTGCAGTCAGTTCGAAGCCTCCCAAGAGCCAAGGAGTAAAAGCAGAATGACATCAGTCACTCTACGTGGCGACCCATATGACTAGTTTAGTGGTCCTGTATCCGTAGCCACTCCGAAACTCAACCGCGTTTTCGACAAACAGTTACACAGTTATATATATATATATATATATACATATATATATATATATATATCCACAGGGCGAAGCTCCATACTATCTACTCCTGGGTTATTTGTCACACAAATCAGTTTAAGTAACTCAACACCAACAACTTCAACATTTCGATTTTTGTATTAACAATCTGCAGAAACCTAAACCTCGCCTTTAGAGCAGGGTTGGTTAAATAAAAAAGTAAGGGTACTGGTGACCGGACGATGCAGGCAATGTGTGGTCTTTCTGATTACGGCAGGTAGATACGAAACTGGAGCACCTACTTAAAAACCGTTCAGGCAGTGGCATCAGTCCAGCACAGCGGGTGGTACAAGGCAGCGACGCCCTCCTTTCCAAATTAAGCAAATTCAGCCTGAGTCCTACTTGCCTGCATCCAATACCTTCTGAAAATACATCCACGGCCCCAACGGTGTGATGAACAAGTCCATTTTCAGGGCACTCGCATCAGCCACATCATGAAAGACGACGTAAGTCAGCTGGCATCGATGTGAGATCAGTTTTTCACAGTACAGTACGGTACTACTATATACATCCTACTCTAGAGATCAGAGATATGACGGCTTACAGCAAATTTAATAATTTTACTGTGTAAGCAAAAAAGTCTCCAAAGTACCACACCAGATCAGCCGGAATACCGATTAGGCAACGCTGAGAAATGTCATATTAGTTTTGAAAGGACGACTCCAATACAATCTATCTCGACGACCATATTCTCTGAAGGGCGGGGCTTTTTCTACCCAACCTTTCACGGTCTATGATCTGACAATGAATCAAGAAAGCCCTAACCAATAACTGACATCCATCTGAATGAAAAAATTACACATGACGAGGGTAATGAAAATGTACATAAATAGCGTAATCACTCTCACGCATGTACCGAAATTAGTGACTTTAGTGTCTATCACAACTAAGTTCACTAGAAGAGTGAAACACCTCAGAGCAACGACTGTCCACCTTATTCAGCTCCACCCTGCTTGAATCAGACAGGGGTATCTCGACCGACAAACCCTGGGACATGATGCGTAGCTCAGTTAGCGTATCGATTTTCGAGAGCATTTCTATTGTTTTTACAGTAAAAGATTTCCACCGAAAAGCATACCATTAAAAGACTGCCTCGATTGTGGTTGACATAGAGTAAGTACATTCAAAACAAGCCAGACTAGTATCGACAACGGTCCATTCTAGTCAAATCTTAAATGGGAAGCTAAATTAGACTATCGGATGAGCCACACTGCAATCCTAAGATAGTGGCACATTGGTACACTCACTTTATTGACTCCACAGGGACAGCGAACGGAAAAGGTTTCTTCACTGTCATCCTCCGACTGAAGTGTTTGTTTCTGTAGTGACTCTGTAAGATCTGTTTCTTTTGAATCAGGTATCTGCTGTTCAGGTTGTGGCTATGGGGACAGACAAGAAGCTCATTTAGCGAAAAATGCTTCTGAATGATTGTAGGTCTAACATGAGTGCTTATTCTTCGGCACTACGTGCATTTTTCTCATAGCAATTTGAGGGAACCAGAGAGTCCCTGATTTTTCCCAATATCAATTTCCTTTCCTAGAGGATACGGCTTTACCGTAAAGTCTCTGCGAGACTTACTGACGGGTTTCCACATGTTGTTCAACGAGTATCAGATGACAGGCAGAGCAATGTTTAAGGGTCTGGGGAAATTAGCCCTTGGTCTTCCAAGTTGAGGGTTGGAGCACGTGTAGCGATTTGCACTTTAAAAACGCAGGTGCCCCGACACTTCCAACTAAACCATGCTCTTCTGTGGTAAGGCCTACAAGTCAAGGTCGTTGGCTGTGGTCTCCAATTGTTCTCATGTCTACTTTTTCGCGTCCTAAAATTAGCTCATTGCGCTTGTATCGATCATTCACACAACGAATCTCAGAATGAATAGACTAAAGCATAATGTCGTTGACCGAGTTGCCTTACCAGATACAACAGGGAAGATAAGCAAAAACGCCGCTGATGACACTCCACTCTTTCTTCTTCACACATCATTTCTCTCACCTATGCACTGAACGATGTTCTCCTTGTAGGCCCGTCTGTGGGGGAAGCGATCGGATGAACCCCGCTTTACTCACGATAGCACGTTAACTGGCGCCGACAGCTTCAGTTTTTACACCTGACGCTCAACTTTCGCATGCTAAAGCAGACTGCCTTTGCTCACAAACTAGACTCGTTTGACGGAAATCAGTGTGGTGTATGTGGAACAAAAATTATTCATCCAAAACGGCTGGACTAACTGTTTCAACATTCCTCTAATTTACTTAGCTTAAAGACCCAGGTGTCTTTGTGACAGGCTGTGTAAAGATCGATATCGTTCCTCGCTTGACTGGATACAAGTTTATTGTCACCCGTGTGAAGTTTGTTTCCAATAATCTGTGAACGGACCTCACAAAGTTTACTGCTACTTGGTTATGATTACTGCTTGAGCCACAAAATCCCTGATAGTCTTCGTGGTCTCTTGGGCACACTTATGCGGAGCGGAAAATTGTAGATACCATTGAGGGTGTGAACACACAGGTGAATAGATTAGGCGCAACTGGCTCCCTCTCTGATAGATGACTTGAGCTTGAACCCATACGTACGGATGACCATTAACAAAGGCCCGGCTACCTGCCGATTGTAGACTGTTTTCACGTAACACGAACTCCCGAAATAATCGAACAAATCTAACCATATGGTTTCCTTCGGCAATGAACCTGAAGCCGACCCAAATAGACCAAAACGTCGTCAGTCATTTAAAGTAGCCGCTTCAGGAGCTCTTGTGTAAATTTAACAGGTTTTTCAGAGCAGTACGAACGGTGTGAACATTTCTTAGAGTCTGCAAGACCAACAGGACAAAGGGCCCAACCAATGTGTTAGAATGACCTGGCCTACCTTACCACCGGTTATCAAGGTTGGCTGGAACGCGGTTACCACGAGGTTGCATGACGTTGGAAGCTGTGCCTGTTAAAGTCAGCTTTAAAAACGTTGGGTATGAAAACGAATAACAGCATTTCTTGGGCCTCACAGTACTGCTGACGCCGTCCTAGACGCAACTCAACCCCGTAGATAGAGACCAGCAGCTATGATTGAGCGACGCAATCTGAAACGCATTACTAAAAAGTTCCGTAATTTGAGAATGAGAAGACAAACCGCCGTAAGCTACGTTGTGACCGTGTTGTTTTGTAGCTAAATCGATTGAATGTATCCATAAACCGACCGACCGACCGAGTAGCGGAGAAGAAATCGGTGCACACAGTATTGCAAACAGAATTCTCAAACGGGGTCAAAATCTCTATAATGTGAAGTCGGCTTCTTCACAAGATACAATACAGCAGCGACTGGCCACAAAACCGTCCATTTTAACTCGAAAGGCAACATCGAAGGGCAAGTTATTCCTACAAATCTACCTGGAGTATTCAAATGATCTGGCAACTACGTTAACTTAGTGCCATTATTCACTGTCATATGAACGCATTTACGATCAATCCTTTGAAAAAGGAGCGACCACTACACAAACCTCATTACAGCCTCCACCCACTTGGTTTTTCAACTCCAACGACTTCTGCGACGCTTCCTGGATCTCCATTTTGTCTTCGTTCAAGTGCTTTGTGAGTGGTAAAAAAGCCCTGTTTGTCTGGAGATGCATCTTTAAGCTGTGGAAATTGTGATGAAGACGGACAGTACTTACCTATGGTGTGCTGTTTTCACTATACCAACCCTAATATTTGCTGGTATGCCGTCAAACTGAAACACGACATCGTCCGCTTTTTTGAAGCCAGGTGGTACATAATCTTCTGGAGTGTCTGGAAAAAGACAAAGAAATAGAATGGGCGTGAATAAGCGCATATATTTATTGGGTACATTTCATTCGCAATGATAATACTGGTGGGAGATATTTAATCTAAATACCAAAGAGTCTCTGCTCAGCATGTTTTTTCATGCCAGGTTATAAGATGAAAAATGCATGTCTGTTGCCTTATAATGGTCAACTAGTTTTAATAAAAGCCTCAAAAGATCAGATCAATCGGAATTTAAAAATTGGCGCACACGTGCTCTGTTCAGCACAAAGAATGTGTCGATAGCAATGAAGTGCTAATGGGCAGCTTACTGTATACAACCTATTGCCCATGGGGGTTAAAAATGAAAATCAACAACAAACTCACAAACTATTTGCTACATGGGATTAATTTAGACTGCTGCTGCACATCAAACATATTACGAGGATAACCCGAAAACATGCCAAAATAAATTTGGAAATAGTGAAACAAAGTTTATCCACTGACGGGAAAAATTTGTCACATATCACCGAAACCTTTGGCCAATGCGGAACATGTTTTTTTGGAATCATGATAAAAATAAACACAAGGGAAAAATTCTAGCTTGCTTTTGAATTGCTGTATTCAATCCCGAACATGCACGTCGGACAGTTTTTATCTACACTCCAGAGGGAACCTTGTCGGCCCGGAATGTGCGGGCAGCATTTTCAAAAGAGCGTGGAGGGTAACCACCACCGGAGATGCTTACCACGCAATTCAGCTTCACAGCAGATGCATCTCATCCAAAAGGTGTAAAGTCCTGTTGCAAAAAGTGGCTCCTGAGCCTATATCTGGGAACTTAAAGGGTTTTTGTAGGAGCCCTTGACTCCCTTTCATATCTCACCTATTTTCTTCACACTAAAGGCCTTTATACAAATAGATGGATATGGTTGTAATGCAGTAAAGCACCAGTGTTCGCTTGTCCTTCTGTCAATGATAAGGACAATGACATTGAACAAAACAGCTTATCAGACAGGTTTGCAAGAGGCAACATGACATTCACGTCCAGCGCTTACTCCTGAAAAACCAAACTTTCGCATCTTCCATTTTTCGGCCTTTCTGGTTCACCGAGCTTCTAGGTCTGAAGCCTTGCTGAAGTTGTATGCTTCCTTAGAATTGATGTATGCTGTGTCTCTGAAACACGCATACAAGACCCAAGCGTGGTTATACATCTCAGAACGCCAAGGATAAACTCAGCTCCTTCATATTTCTCCCTTCGTGTGTGCGGTGACCCAGAAGTGATGAATTGAGGAATATATGGTGTGGAAGTTGCACTCAGTCCCAGAGCTGAAAGCGCTTTGCCGGATTAAATCTCAGCGAACAGTCGTATTTGAGCAGTCCACTTATTCAGCTCGAACAAGCTCAGTGCCTCCCGGCGTGAAAAGCAGTGCCTGTTTGTAGTGTCGGCTTATGCCTCAACGGACTGCGGTTCCGATGCTGAGAAGGGTGTTCTCTATCGAGAGCTATTCGGGCTCATTCGCCAGGCAAAACGCACTGACGTTGTGATCCTTGCAGGCGATACGAACGCTCAAGTAGGCCGTCTTGTCTCCTTGGAATCACATCTTGGTTACCAAATCGGAGTCGATGCTGGCCACACAGGCAACGGAGATTGGCTCCTCTAGTTGTGTGCTGCCCATGAACTGTTTCTGGCCAGTACTAACTTTCGACATAGACGTTCGCATCGTGTAACCACCATGTAAACACCGCTACCACCAACTGCAAGTCAACCTTGGACCCCGCTGGATCATTTGACCATTGGTCACCGGTAGAGAGCCACGATTCAAGACTGCCGTTCCCATGGGACACATCACTTCATTCCAATTACGCCATGGTGCATGCACGCCTGACAGTTCGCTTCCCTCAGGCCCTCGGAAGTCAGTAGGAAGCATGCCAATTCTCTATCTTCGAAGAACGATGATAGCTCACCAGTACCGATCTGAGCAGTGAGCATGTGGATGAAGAACAGTTCAGCTCTCCTCCTGTAACAGGATGTGGAGACAGTACATATGGGCGAATGGAATGTAAACCTTCGTCGCCCATAGGAAGAAGAAATAAAGTACGAAATATCCGTCCTAAAATGGGAGAAGTCACCAGAACCAGATGGCCTCTATCTAGCCCTCTTCAAGGAAGGTGGAGAATCTCTGATGACCAATCTAACAAAACTGATTGGCGCGATACGGATTGAAGACTAAGTGCTCATAGAATGGGGCATGCGATGGTTATCCCCATCTTCAAAAAGGGTGCGCGAACGCTGTGCGAAAGCCACCGTGGCACCAGCTTGGTAGCTGTGGCATCAAAGGTGCTCTCTTGCCCTACCGTTCGAAGGCTGACTGGACACAGGGAGGGACAGATCCGTGAAAACCAAGCTGGGTTCTGTCTTGCAATGGGATGTATCGATCAAATCTTCACTCCGCGACAGGTTTTGAAACAGCAACACTGTTTCCAGCAACCAACAGTGGTTGTGTTCCTTGAGTTGAAAGCTGCCTTTGACTCCGGGAACCGTCAGGCACTATGACAGTGTCTGTGGGGCAAAGGTGTCCCCCATTAATACTTGACCCTCCCTATGTTGTCCTCTTTCATTTGTCCTTTTCAACTTCAGCACTGATACGACCATGGAAGACTCACCATCAGCCTCTGGTGCCTGTGGATTCGAAGTGCTCCCGAAGCGACCGCTCACAGATATCGAGTACGCAGGCGACATAGCTCTTCTTGGATCGGACCCCGTGGTAATGTAAACAATATTAGATAATCTAAATAATTCCGCCTCATTGTTCGGGGTACAAGTCACACCTGCAAGTTGCACAATGTTACTGCAAGACTGGGATGGCCCAAAATCTAGCCTCATGCTTGCGGATGAACCGGTTGAAGTGGTAGACAAATTTGTTTACCTAGGCAGCTGTATCAGTCTCGGTAGTCTCGCAGGTTATTATAGTTCCATCCGAATTGAGAACGTCAGAGCAGCTTTCGTGAACTTGCGTCGTCTGTGGTGTAGGCCTGACATTAACTTATCTGTCAAGGGTCGAGTCTACAATGCTGCGGTGCGCTCCACAGAAAAATCGTCCATGTGTAGCACCCTTTCGGTGCCTAGCTGCCATGCCACACGGAAGAATCACGGGGGCTGGGATACTGCCAGGTTGCCAAAGCCTAGACAGGGGAAGTCGAGAGGCAGAGGTCGGGTTCGACCCACGGACCTTCCGGTCAGCAAATTCGCGCTCTGACCACTTGGTTCATCTTGCCCCATACTCGCTTCATACTACTATAATGATCAGCAACGTGGCTGATGCGCGACCGAGGACGTCAAAAGACTTTCATTGTTTGATCATCGATGCCATACTGTCATAAAATCTCTGCAACCATTTGGACCACCACACAAGTGACAAACTCCCACTTACTTACCAATAAGACATCGAAATCCCATCTCACTGACCTCCCACCATCAGCTCAGAAGTCAACTGCAAGTCTGGACCAACTCCGTTCCACCATGTCAACCATCCCGGCCACTACTGAAGTTGTGCCATTCCGTCTGTGTTCGACTTTATTCTGACTAATACATATGGTTAGGGAAGTTGAATTCGTCTCCCACGAGACTAAATTCGACTGAAGCAACTATTTTGGTCTTTCACACTGACACACGAAGAGACCACGACAGTAGCTATTCCACCAAAATTAAAACTGTTCTACCTTCCCCCCCCCCACGAGGTCTACTTCTTGTTGGTGGCTGAGACACCCAGTTACCAAACCCAGTCCAGAAAACCGACTGCTGGAAGGGCTATAATGGTCCTCGTCAAATATCCCGTTACTTTGGTCGGAGCTGCATTCTTTACTTGGACTATCCGCCTAACAGTGGGGGAAAATTATATTGGAAGCTCACCAAGGAGCTTGACATCCTAAACCTTTGCTGTTCTGGTTATCAAATTCGATGCGTTGTTGCCTGTCGAACCTGTCCGGCGTCCATCAACACTGGAATGGCGGTATCGTCAAGCCGGCGTGTGAAGGAAGTAACTAGTTGAATTTCACTAACCACAAGGATCATCCTACTTCCCATACTGACATAATCTGTCACTGACCAGGAAAGCGCGTACTGAGAAGAGCAAGATGCTCCCCCTGGGAGGCTAGTACAAATCTGTATACAAATAAACTTGTGTATTCAAACCACTGCTCGCGCGGAGTGGCTATACTATGAATATATACCTAAGTCGATATGGATGACTTAACGAAATCTCCGGACAGAGTAAAAAAAACCTGCTAAACTTGGCAGATCACGTGGTATTCAGCTCCCAGATTCACTAGATTCGAGGTTCCCCGGAGCACCAGACCATAGCTAGGCTCGTCAGAAGAACTGCCTATCGCCCTTTCAATCCAGCTTGGTACTCCAAATTCCTCACTCCAGTGGTCTCTTTTCTTTAGACAGCCACCAACCTCGTCTCCTGCAACAACATCGTAACATGGAGATCCAAAACGACCAAGTCATCACCATCACCATGAACAATAACCGAGTGACGCCACAGGCTGCCATCCATCCCTAGGAAGGTTATTGATTGATGCATGTTACGGAACGATGCGACATTTCACCAACCACCAACGATAGCACTTCTTGGAAGTTTGATCTTTATAATGTTGAAGGAGTGACGAATCCAAGGGGACTGGTCCGAAGGAACGCGCAACACCGCTTGATATTAAAATGGAGCCGACCACGCCAACACACCAAACAATCCAACGGTGGGTCTTAATGCAATTTGAAGCTATTATTAAATGAGCTGACTAAGGCTTACTTTCGATCGCTAGTCGAATACGATGTTCAGGTGTGGAATATCCGACTCAGGAAGGACATCAGATTTCTCCGGTGAACAAGGCAAAGCTATTAGGCAAACATGCGGCACCCGCGCTCTTCTATGCACGGAACGTTTGGGGTAGCTCAGTCGTTACTCTGTGGCTTACGGCAGTGAAGCATCGGTGTTGAACACTGATGTCAAGCCTTCGATGATGATGATGGCTTTAGAAGCATTTCAATACTCCAACTATTCATCGATATCAGCTGTAATAGCCGCGTACTTGTCGTACAGTGGTTGTAGCTACCAAAACCTCGTCCACCGGTGATTCGGGGAGGTGAAAGCCGATAAATTAATGAGCATGGTCATCACCAGCCCCCGTCAACACTAGCAGTTTTCGTGTTCACGAATGAAAGTCGCTTTAGCAACACAGACATAAAAAATATCAGCGCCACCTACTTTCTTTAAGAATGTCATTTGTTGAACTCTCTGGCAACAAAGCTTTCTTGCGCCAAGTCTATTACTAATATGACGGCTGGACTTCCACATCAAGACACTAAACCTATAAGTAATATGATAGCCATGATAGAACGCAGAAGTTATACGCACTATTAAGTTTTTACCATCTAGACCGTGGTTTACAGTGACGAGTTGCCCCACGTATGAAACGAATGCAATAAAATGTGGAGTAAGTCAAAAGGGGTAATTATCGTTTGTGAGCTCCCAAGTGAAAATCTGGACGGTGGGAACGTGTTTTCTCTACGGTGTGCCTGCTGAAAATGTTCCGTATGTCAGGACGCGCCCAGACAGAAGAAAAAGCACATGTGCAGAGAGTGAAGCATCCCCAAGTTTACCATCGGTTCGACACGTCCAGAAAGTAGGTGAGTCGGCGGCTCCCACCAAACACGGCTTAGCAACACATGACCAGCGTTGTGGGCCTGAGACTGTTCACGACCGGAACACCACCATTGGCTGTACGGAGCGAACAAGCGAACGACCATATTTGGCCAGTTAGTCATCCTATATATTTATGCAGACGCTCTGTATGTTTTGTCCTGGCAATACAGCCGTGTCCCCAGTTCTCTGTCTTCTCCCTATCGCGTAGTCTGGCAGGCTCAGCGCAGGCGTAACCCATAGACGGCCACCTCCACCGCACAATACAACACCGTAATTGTCCGTGGACCTAGAGAATTTTGTTGACTCCCTGCCCCCTGGGCACGCGAATACGTGTGTTGACTGTGTCTGTCTTCTTATAGATAGGATGGTTTGCCGTGTGTATAATAAATAGAACCGTTCCGACGCGTGAAAGACGGTAACCGACTTGTTGTCGGTCTAGGTTCTAATCGGGGCATGGTTTTGTCACGTGCATTGGGTGCTTGCGGAACAAAGGTGCCGCATGATCTAATGAGCACGGATGTGCTGATCAAATTAATCAAAGTTGGTTGACGGAACAGGGAAATATCCGCTACGTATCTAAATGTCCATACAAAACAAGTACTGTGGCTATTACACTGTCACGCAACACAGGATTATTTCTCAGAACATCCGATTCCCTTCAATATAGAAACATACCATCGGTATATTGCAGCCTCATTGTCATAAAGAGATCTCCTGACAATCGTTTTGCCTTTTCTCCCACTGCATTTATTGTCTTGAGGAGGTTTATTGTCGCCGTTTGAATTTCAGCCTGAGAAACGGCTGGTGGTAGCAGCCTTGACCTGGAGACCCTGAAAGCATATAAATATATCCACTGACGTACAGGTTGTCGCCTGCTGCCCCATCCACCTCGACAGCCGACTCGCCATAAGCGAGCTTGAAAGAGTATGATTCTACAATTTTGCATGAATCATAAATATTTACGGAGGATCTTTTGGCCTCATCACGGCAATAGAGCGATATGAGCGCAGATTTCAACTGCAGAGTTGTGATATTTCGAAGTGTCAACCTACGTATTGCCGATCGATGGCATCGAAGCAGCCACGCAACCAATAGACAACTTTCGACGACCCAGGAAATTTGTTGTCTTCTCTGAGTATTTTCAACTTCACACCTAACAGTATAAAACGATTGATTTTGCCCAACCTTCCAGCTGCTTATCAAAAAATGCAGAATTCGGGAATATGCGCCGGGAATAGAGGACATACGATACGGCAACAGCAAACAATTTTTTTACAAAGACTAATGAGTATACTTCCGTCCCAATATCCATCGGGAAGAGTTTTTGCCACTAAAACATTCGAGAACTGAAAAACAACCCACGTTGCCCGTGCATGATTGAGTGGCAACCACCACCGCCATCGCCGGTGCCTCGCGATAACACAATGCCCTAAACGTGTTTGCGCCAATATGTACTAAAACAAAGACTCCAATTTTTGTTGCGAATGCCCGAGCTCCAAATGAAAATAGTGCATAAGTTCCTCGAATAATCTGTATGAGAATATGCCAGGAGCTTTATGCCGTGCCGAACTTTGCACGGCATATCAAATTGTCCGAGAAACCTTGGTGTGCTGAATGAACAGATTTGGGCTGCAAAATATACGCTGCAAAAATATGAGCGTTGAATAAGATGGTTCTTGGTTAGACCACAAACGCAACAAGCTGCAACATTTTTGGTGCAAGACGTCCTACTCCGTACCCAAAGGTTTTGCACCTAAGAGCATTGTGCTTTATTCGTAATTTTCGGCTATCACTTCAACATAAAATTGTTCACTGCTTTGATTGACAGCGGCTAGAAGCATAATGTATTTTTCTGCAAAACCCCGGCGATCGAAATAAAAACTTTAACGTCAAAATGTTGCACTTCTTTGCATATATGCGTAGACTGAAAACCCCCCTCATCTGCCGTCATTTTTTGCGATTTGTTTTAATCGATGTCATTTGAAAATTATTG